GATGTGTATTTGAGATACTAAATAATTCACCCAGTTGTGTCAGTGTTTTTTAGTAAATGTGTCCAATTTTAGAACATTTCCATCGCTCCAGAAAGATCCTTCATACACATTGGTGTCATTCTTCGACAGCATCCTTAGCCCCTGGCAGCCTACTTTCTGTTGCTATAGATTTTCCTTTTCTGGACATTTCATAGAAATGGAATCATACATTATGTGGCTGTATCTGGCTAAATGGAAGAAGCCAGTTACAAAATAACCACGTATGTATGATTCCATTTCTGTGAAATGTCCAGAGAAAGGGTTTTGTTTTGTTTTGTTTTTAGAAAGTATTTTTAAAGTCTTTTTTCCAATTCACTTTCACGTCCTCGTCCCCTTGTGATGGGAGAGGGGCTTGGTTCAGGCGCAGCTTCCCAAAGGGCAGTGGGTCAGTACATCACACCTGCGAAGCCTGGCTGCCCTCCTCTTTATCGTTGGTACTGCCTGAGGTTGCTGCTGCCCGTGCCCAGCGTTGCTGCTGCTTCTGCTTCACAGTATAGCTTCCCGTTCCCTATGACAAAGGTGGTTTTTGCTGTATTGAACTATAGCCGGCTGCGGTGGCAAACGCCCGTAATCCCAGCACTTTGTGAGGCTGAGGCGAGTGGATCACCTGAGGTTGGGAGTTTGAGACCAGCCTGGATAACATAGTGAAACCGTGTCTACTAAAAATACAAACAGCTGGGCTGGTAGCAGGTGCCTGTAATCCCAGCTACCACGGAAGCAGGAGAATCGCTTGAACCCGGGAGGCAGAGGCTGACATACTAAATAATTCACCCATTTGTATTAAGTCAGTGGGCCGAGATCTCACCACTTCACTCCAGCCTGGGTGCCTAGAGTGAGACACTCAAAAAAAAAAAAAATATATATATATATATATAGTAATTGCTTTTTTCCTCTTGTATGGTTCTTTCCCTTTTTCTTTTAATTTCTATGTTGAATTTTATCAATAACTTTTTTCCATTTTGCTTTCCCTGTGGTCCGGGTCAGGCATTCCTCCCACTCAGCTCTCCAAGTACGGAAACATCGGGCGTGTGAACATCGGCGCCATTCAGGAGCCCCTCGCCTTTATCCTGCCAAAGAGAGAGACGCTCTTCGCCCTGGATGACCAGGCGCTGGGGCCCGAGCTCACAGCTCGAACACCAGAGCCACCCGCCGAGGAGCCACGCCTGGAGCCCGCTGGCCCGGCCTGTCCGGAGGGAGGGCGAGCGGAAGCGGAGGCGGAACTGCCCCGTGTGGAGCCCTAGCCAGCGTCCCCTGCCTCCAGCACGCGGTGCGTATGGTTCCCAGCGCGGGGCAGCCAGGGCTGCCTCGCCCAGGAAGGCCCAGGGCGGACTCGGGAGGCAGGAAGGCGCTCCGGGAGGAGAGCGGAAGGGGCGGTGCTCAGGCCGGGTCTGGGCGTGAAGACGGGGATCCTGCCGCGCGGCCTTGCTGTGCGCGCTCTGACGGCACTTCCCGGCGTGCCCCGCGCTGCAGCCGGAAGAGGCGGGCCTGGTTCCTGCTGCTGGGGTCGCCATGTCCCGCATGTTGGGTGCGCTGCTGCTTCGGCGGCTATGGGTCCCCGTGGCCTGGGGAAGGGCAGCAGCCGGTGGTTCCCGAGCTTGCAGCTCCAAGGCCGCCCGTGACGGCGTCGAGGGTCCGGTGCTCCGGCGCTCCTATTGGCGTCACCTGAGGCGCCTGGTGCGGGGGCCGCCTGAACCGCCGTTCATGCACGTGTGCCAGGTCGGGGACCCGGTGCTGCGCGGCGTGGCGGCCCCGGTGGAGCGGGAGCAGCTGGGAGGGCCCGAGCTGCAGCGGCTGGCGCAGCGGCTGGTGCAAGTGATGCGGCGGCAGCACTGCGTGGGCCTGAGCGCCCCGCAGCTGGGGGTGCCGCGGCAGGTGCTGGCGCTGGAGCTCACCCAGGCGCTGTGTCAGAAGACCCCGCCGCGCCAGCGCGCGCTTCGCCAGATGGAGCCTTTCCCTTTGCGCGTGTTCGTGAACCCCAGCCTGCGGGTGCTGGACAGCCGCCTGGTCACCTTCCCCGAGGGCTGCGAGAGCGTCGCCGGCTTCCTGGCCTGCGTGCCCCGCTTCCAGGCGGTGGAAATCTCAGGTGCTGGCGGTGGGGGCCGGGGCAACAGGAGTAGCGCGGGCGTCTCTTTGCCTGGCTCCGGCGAGAGCCCAGAAGCTGTTGCGGTTCATCTGCTGGGCCTCCCGCAGGAAAGAATTGGGACGCGGGAGCGGACGGGCCTTAGGAAGGATAGAAGCTCCTGTGGGACAGATCCGGCTCAGATAGGATGCGGGGGCGAGGAGGGGACCCTTAATTCCCCTGTTACTTGACCCCAGGCCTCTGCTTTCTGCTCCCTTATTCTCTGACCAAATACTCTTCAGCCCCAGTTAGATCCGCCACGGTGCAGTTGGAGAAGTGGGGGTTAGCACCCCAGCTTGACCCAGCCCAGTGGGGTAAGCCATTCTCCCCGTGGTACCACTGGATGTCTCGCGGAATGCGGGCTGTGCTGGGGTCGGGGTGATTGTTCCTGGTTCAGGAGAGTCAGAAGAACTGGGGTCTCAAGCTACAGAACGTCTATTAGGAGTTACGAGCCCACAGATACCTCAGAAGCCGTGGGGGGGGGGCGTGTTAGAAGGGTCGCACCATTGGAAGATGATTTCTCATCTCAGCTCTACAGTGAATTTGATAACCTAATTACCATAATTGGGAACCAGGTTGAACACTTGGTAATGGGCCAAGTTGAGGTATCTTTTCCAGTTAGGAGAGGATCTGTTGCCTGTATTTGCCTTCTGCTGTTGCTTCTTGTTCATGGGAACAGCCAGGGCTCGGGGCACGGGTAAGGAGGTTGAGGATGATGCTGTTCACCTGTTCCCACTCACGATGCCTGTAACTTCCTTTGCAGGGCTGAACCCCAATGGAGAACAGGTGGTGTGGCAGGCAAGCGGGTGGGCAGCCCGCATCATCCAGCACGAGATGGACCACCTGCAGGGCTGCCTGTTCATTGACAGAATGGACAGCAGGACATTCACAAACATCTGTTGGATGGAGGTGAATGACTAAAGCTTTTTACTGGGGCTGAGGATTCCTGAGACCAAGATGCAAACACTGCCACTTTTAGCTGGGCACATCTTACTTGGCATCAACTTGGATGACTTGGCCATGACAGGAAAGTGGACTGCCAAGGCACGCCAGACTGAGCTGGAGGAATATGTCAGAAATGTTTACCCTGAAATCAGTTATGGATGAAGTGTTGCCTACAACTTGAGGAGAAAAATCACCCCCAAAGGAGTGGTCGTTTCCTGACAATTCTGTTTGGAGATAGGTGGGGTAACTGCATTCGTCTGCGGTAGACGTGAGTTCCTTGGACCTGTATAATCTCCCAAAGCCAAGATTTGGTAATGTAGTCTCCAAATACCTGAAAGCTGTCTTTAAAAATGCAGGTAAGCGTGACTGGCCATTTGTGCTGAGTTCTTATTTTTACAGAGGGCTTGTGACTTTGGTTGATCTTGGATGCCAGTTTGCTTATAGAAATAAAACAGGGCAGGATAGTCCCTGCTCAAGGAAGTGTTTACTGACAGCACGAGTATAAATAAGTGTCCACATATTTTAACAGTCTTGGGCAAGATTTTGCTGCTGAGATCTCTAGAGCAGCTGGTTCTTGGTTTATTCTTGGGGTAGATGCCATGGATCAGGGCTGGGTGCAGGGGTAACAATTGAGAAGTGGAGTAAGCCCTTTCCTCTTACCAATTGGGACAGACAAAAAAGCAGAACTAGTACTCCTTGGTCATACACTTATTTTGGAAAAGTGAATTAACATCACATCAACCAATGTAGATTTAACAAAATGTTGCCAGCACAATGGTTCACACCTGTTATTCCAACACTTTGGAAAGCCAAGGTGGGCGGATCACAAGGTCAGGAGTTCCAGACCAGCCTAGCCAACATGGTGAAACCTGGTCTGTACTGAAAATACAAGGCCGGGCGTGGTGGCTCATGCCTGTAATCCAACCACTTTGGAGGCCAAGGTGGGCAGGTCACCTGAGGTCAGGAGTTCAAGACCAGCCTGACCAACATGGTGAAACCCCGTCTTAAAAAAAAAAAAAGAAAGAAAGAAAATACAAAAAATTAGCTGGGCATGGTGGCACGCCCCTGTAATCCCAACTACTCAGGAGGCTTGAGGTAGGAGAATTGCTTGAACCTGGGTGGTGGAAATTGCAGTGAGC